ATTAATCAAGGCTTAAAAAGAATTAAAATTTTCGTTAAAAAACGAAAAACCCCATAAAAAATAGGTTTCAGGTTTGAATTTGGCTTCTGGATAGCCCTCATAGGGTTGAATCTGTTCCAGAATGTCGATTCCACCCAAAAATTACTATTGTTGAGCCAAAATCTGGGTTCGACAGCCAAATCGAAAATAAAATCGAGTTTTAAAATTAATTAAAACGAGCATCTAATCTAATTAGAAGAACATGAACAAAAAAAATTAATTCTTTTAAAACACCTAAATTTAAAAAAAAAAATAATTGCAAAAATTAAAAGGAGCGTGGCTCCGATACCGCTGTAGAGTTTCGTAGTGACCCGACACAACGCGGAAGGAAACCCACCAAGACCCGCCCCTTAATTAAAACAATTAACAAGCATATTAAACTTAATCAAACAAGATTAAGAACAAGAATTATACCTTTGTCGCGTGCTTCGCTCCCAAAGAGCTCTTACTTCAAAATCCCGAAAACACGAGATCTCCGACGGATCGTACCCTTGACCCGACCCGAGCGTCTTAAGTCTTGAAGGTTAGTCAAGACCCGGACAAAATAACTATGAGTTTTACGAATCAAAGGTTTACTCTTAATTAGAGTTGCCTTTTTAATTCCACTCAAGGTTGTTCATTTCCCAATACCCAAGCTTGGTATTTATAGGGAAATGAGCCCTTGATTTTTCATCCTCCACCAATGTGGGAGTGTTGAAATACAATGATTTATTTAATTTCCAAATTAAATAAATAATCAAGTTAATCACATTTCGACAAGTGGAATGATCATATGCAAAAGAGTGGTGGACAAGGTTAGGTGGGGGACCATATGCCTTGCTCCCCAAGGCCTTGATTTGGTTCCCACATCCCATGCATAAAACCGGGTCAAGCAAGGCTAGCTGGCTGCCAGCTAGCGTCCCAGCTAGCACTGCCTTGCTGCCCAGCACCCCAGCCAGCCAGCTAGTGCGTGCTGCTGCTGGGCTGGTGCTGGTGATGTGTGCTGGCACTGGGCGTTGCTAGCACATAGTGCTGGCACTGGCCCCTAGCAGCCCACGCACAGGCTAGCACGCAAACTTACCTTGCGCACCATTGCTAGCACAACCAGCATGCGTGCTGCTAGCGAGCCACGCATGCTGGCCCCTTCCTTCGCATCGTGCTACGCACCAAGCAACACGCAGCGCGCTACTTACCACGCAACATGCAGCATGCTACGCACCACGCAACACTCGCACACGCATTAGCCAGTGCCTAGCACTGCTATGCTTGGTGCGAGGCACGCACACACGCACATGCACATGCGCCAATGCCTAGCACTGCGTTGGCTGTGTTTGGTGCGTGTGTAGCCTTGCCATACGCACCCAGGCACCCAGGCTAGCACGCTGCTAGCTGTGATGAGCTGCCTGGTGCTTGTGGTGCTTGCGATAGGTTACCATGCGCACCTAGGCACCCAGGCTAGCACGCTGCTAGATGCGATGGGCTGCCTGGTGCCTGTGGTGCTTGTGATAGGCTGCTATGCGCACCCAGGCTAGCACGCTGCTAGCTGCGATGGGCTGCCTGGTGCTTGTGGTGCTTGCAATAGGCTGCGTGCCTAGGCATCATGCTAGGGCTGCGATAGCGCCTAGGCATGATGCTAGGGCTGCGATGGTGCGCCTAGCACACCTAGTGTGCTTAGGCTTGCGCCTAGCCATGCTAGGTGCATGCTAGCTCAAACTAGCATAGCATCCACATGGTTAGACCATTGTGGTGCTACGACTACACTCATACTTGTCGCTTTCTGATTTTGCGACGCTCGGTCTCGACGCCCTAGGCTCGATATCCGACGTTTGTATTCGTAAAACTCTGTCGACTCATTAAATCCTTTCGGATTAATTCGTCGTCTCGGATCGGTGATTCGATTGGGTTCGACCCGAAGGGTTCAGCTAAGATTAAGCTGTAACATCAATTGTACATTGATATTACTGATCGGAAGCGGCCTCCGTCTAGGCATTCCGATCACTTGACCTTACTGAAGAATTAGCTTCGTAATAATTCTGAACCCTCTATCGGAAGAATACACTTTTTGGAAGGACACCATTCCTTTCACCTTGAACTCTCATAGGCTTCAAGATGAAGCTCATCTAATTCATTGAGTTGTAATAGTCTATTCTCTCCCGCCGCCTTAGCATCAAAATTCAAGCTTTTTATGGCCTAGAATGCTCGGTGTTCTAGCTGAACGGGAAGATGGCATGCTTTTCCTTAGACAAGTCTATATGGGGTTGTTCCGATTGGTGTTTTGAAGGCCGTTCGGTACACCCATAGTGCGTCATCTAGCTTCACAGACCAGTCCTTCCTTGTTCGTGCAACAGTTTTCTCGATAATGGACTTGATCTCTCGATTTGACTCTTCAATTTGACCACTAGTCCGTGGGTGATAGCCAATTCCAAGCCTATGTTGCACTCCATATTTCTTCAACATTGCTTCAAATCAATGCTCTAGAAAATGTGTTCCCCTGTCACTAATTAACACACGTGGCAAACCAAAACGAGGGAAAATAACTTTCTTGAAAAACTTACCTACCACACGAGCATCATTGGTTGGATTAGCAATTGCTTCCACCCACTTTGAGACATTATCAACGGCTAGCAAGATATAACGGTTGCCATAGGAGGAGGGAAACGGACCCATGAAATCTATCCCCCGCACATCAAACAACTCGACCTCGAGTATGTTGTTAAGTGGCATCTCGTTTTTCTTAGAAATTGTACCTGTCTGTTGACATCTATCGCAATCCTTGACATAGGCATATGTATCCTTGAACATCGTAGGCCAATAAAATCCGCATTGCAAGATCTTTACAATTGTCTTCGAGGGGCATGCATGTCCACCACAAGGTAAGTCATGGCAATGTGAAATAATATTATTTACCTCAATTTCTGGAACACATCGTCTGATCATGGTATCCACGCATTGCTTGTACAGGAACGGATCGTCCCAAAAATATCTCTTTACCTCAGAAAGGAATTTCTTCCTTTGTTGAGAAGAGTAGCCATGAGGCATTGTACCTATAGATAGGAAATTAGCCAAGTCAGCAAACCATGGTGATTCAGTCTGCAATAAAACTAGTAAGTGTTTTGCAGGAAGAGAATCATCAAAAGGAATATCATCTCCATCCTCAGGGTCAAGGAGAAGACGGGAAAGATGGTCTGCAACAACATTCTCTGTTCCCTTGGTATCCTTGATCTCGATGTCATAATCTTGTAGTTGAAGAATCCATCGAATCAACCTAGGCGTGGCATGGGTTTTGGTCATCAAGTACCTCAATGCTGCATGATCTGTATGAATAATGACCTTAGAACCAACCAAATAAGAATGAAACTTGTCAATTGCATATATTACAGCTAGCATCTCTTTTTCTGTTGTGGCATAATTCATTTGAGCAGAACTCACAGTTTTGCTAGCATAGTATATGGCATGAAGCTTCTTCTCCTTCCTTTGCCCCAACACGGCTCCTACTGCGTAATCACTAGCATCACACATGATTTCGAACGGCAGACTCCAATCTGAGGGTTGCATGACAGGAGCAGAGATCAAGGCTTCCTTCAACCTGTTAAAAGCCTCAAGACAAGCACCAGAAAAAACAAAAGGAACATCCTTAGCTAAGAGCTCAGTTAGAGGTCGAGCAATTTTCGAAAAATCCTTATTGAAACCCCGGTAAAAACCTGCATGACCAAGGAAGCTTCGAACTCCTTTTACAGAGTTTGGTGGTGGTAGGCGCTCTATGACCTCTATTTTGGCTCTATCTACTTCAATACCCTTATTGGATACAACATGGCCTAAAACAATTCCTTGTTGCACCATAAAATGGCATTTTTCCCAGTTTAAAATCAGATTAACTTCTTTACATCTTTGGAGTACCTTTTTCAGATTTTCAAGGCATACATCAAAGGTGTTCCATAGACAGAGAAATCATCCATTAATACTTCCATAGTGTTTTCTATGAGTCTTGAGAAAATTGCCATCATACATCTTTGAAAAGTGGCAGGGGCATTACATAGTCCAAATGGCATCCTGTGATATGCAAAGGTGCCATATGGACATGTGAAAGTAGTCTTTTCCTGGTCACAGGGACGGATGGGAATTTGAAAGAAACCAAAATATCCATCCAAGTAAGAGAAAAAGTAATGCTTTGCCAACCTTTCAAGCATTTGATCAATAAAGGGTAGGGGAAATGATCCTTCAGGGTGGCCTTATTCAATTTTCTATAACCTACACACGTTCGCCACCCTGTAACAATCCTAGTGGCGACTGGCTCACCCTTGTCATTCTTGACAACGGTCATACCTCCCTTCTTTGGTACTACTTGTACAGGGCTAACCCACTTACTATCAGAGATAGGGTAGATTATTCCTGCAGCAAGCAATTTCAGAACCTCTTTTTTCACTACCTCCATCATATTTGGATTAAGTCTTCTTTGAGGTTCTACAGAAGAGGCATGATCGTTTTCAAGAATGATCTTATGCATGCAAAATGAAGGATTAATACCCTTGATATCATCAATGGTGTACCCAATAACACTTTTATATGTTTTCAGAACATTGAGCAGTTGCTCCAATTCTGTGTCCTTGAGTGCAGCATTGACAGTAACAGGATATGAATTGTTTGGACCAAGATATGCATACTTTAAGTTAGAGGGGAGGGGTTTCAACTCTACCTCGGGAGGCTTAGTACTCTCCCCAAAATTCATTACACTCAGTGTCTCTCTGATTGGATTCATGTTCGGGTGGGCCTTTGCTTCTTCAAGCATCTTGACATACTCTCTTGATTCCCAATCTCCATCAACATCTTCCTTCCCTATTAGCACTTGTTCAAGGGCATCATCCTTTTGGTTCAGGGAAGTTGCTCACCTTCCAACTCATCAAGCACATCAACCTGACAAACAGTGTCTCCCATAGAGGGAGCACCCATGATATTCAAAAGTGAGTATTCCAATTTCTCATCACCTACTTCAAAAGTATTTTACCTTTCTTCATGTCAATAATTGCACCTGTAGTAGCTAAGAAAGGTCTACCGAGTATAATTGGAACATTCACATCTTCTTCCATTTCCATCACAACAAAATCACAGGGTATGAAAAACTTACCTACTCGAAGAGGTACATCCTCAAGTACACCCAAAGGAAACTTCACTGACCTGTCTATAAGTTGCAGAGATATGCGTCTGGGTTTGAGTTCGCCCATTTGCAGCTTCTTGCATATGGACAGTGGCATGAGGCTCACACTTGCACCAAGATCGCACAATGTCCTGTTAATTTCGATATCCCCAAGCTTCACTGTAATCGAATAGCTACCTGGATCTCCTAATTTCTTAAGGAGAGTGTTCTGCAAAATAGCATTGCACTCTGCATTCAAAGCAACTGTAGTATTCTCTTCTAACTTTTCTTGTTAGATAGCATATCCTTTAAAAATTTTGCATAAGAAGGCATCTCAGATATGGCATCTAAAAATGGAATATTTATATGAAGCTTTTTAAGAATATCAAGAAACTTACTGAACTTTTTCTCAAGTTTATCTTGGGCTAACCTTTGAGGAAAAGGAACTTTAGGCACATACGGGGCAAGTGGCTTTGGAGGTGCTTCCTTTGATTCATCCTCGACCTTAGCATTGTCAATTTCTTTCTCATTTGCACCTACTTCTTCAACGACCTCCTGTGATGTCTCCTTGGTAGGAGGATCTTCCAATTGCTTTCCACTCCTCAAAGTAACAACATTCATGTGGCCTTTTTGAGGTTGTTCTGTCTGGCCCGGAAAAGTCCCGGAGTCTTTAAAGATTGGCTAACTTGATTGGCAAGTTGGCTTATTTGGTTTTTCATGAGTATACTCTGGGCTTGCAACTGTTGGATGGAGCAACTTTGGTGTTGGATGGCACTATTTGTTGCGGTTATAAAGCTCTCCATCATTACCTTAAGGCTGGATTTTTAGGGTTGTGGTTGCACTGGTTGTTGGTTCATTGGTGGTCTTTGTTGGAAGCTAGGTGGTGGTTGGTTGTAGTTGTTGGGTTGAGATGGTGGTGGATTTTGCTGTGCTTGGGTGTTCTTGTATGAGAAGTTGGGGTGGTTTTTCCATCCTTCATTATAGGTGTTGGAGTAGGGGTCATAAGGCCTTTTGGGGTTTGAGGAGTAGAAAGCATTGGCCTGCTTAATTGACATCTCACTTGAATTCTGCGAATTCTGCGGGCAATTGGGTGCAATATGACCCTGCACATTACACAATTGACACAACTCCTATGGGCTAGTAGAAGCTCCAGCTTGGAAATTATCAAACCTGCTTGTTAGTGCCTGCACAGAACTGGTTAGCATAGTCAAGGCATCAACATCAAGTTTACCTCCTTTTTTCACAGTATGTCGGCCTCCTAGATGATAATTATCATTGGCCGCCATCTTCTCTATGAGCTCCCTTGCCTCAATGGGGTTCTTTGTCAAGAGAGAGCCTCCTGACGCAGCATCAATATAGATCCGGAACTCATGAGTCATTCCATTATAAAATGTCTACATTAATATCAACTCTGGAATGCCATGATGAGGGCATTGTCTCTACAACCTCTTAAACCTTCTCCAAGCCTCATAGAGAGACTCGTCATCTGACTGTCGAAAGGTTGATAGCTCGTTCCTCAACCTAGCAGTCTTCTCCTGTCCTAAAAACTTCACTAAGAAGGCCTTCGCAAGCTTGTCCCAAGTATCGAACGAGCCATCGCCTTAATCTCTCAACCACTCCTTTGCCCTATCCCGTAATGAGAAAGGGAAAAGGCGTAGTCTGATCGCGTCATCTGTAACACCATTTATTTTCATAGTATCACATTTCTCCAAAAAACTATCAATATGACTTACCGGGCAATCATGTGGTAGTCATGCGAATGAATTGTTGGAGATGAATTGAATGAATTGCGGCTTGAGCTCGAAGTGCCGAGCTATTACAGGTGGTCTTACGATGCTGGAAAGAAGTCCGGTAGTCGTATCCGGAATACCGTACTCCAAAAGGGATTTCGTTCCTTCTTGTACCATGTTTCTCCTACGTCGATTCTTGTTCTCCTTCTTCTTATAGTTGCCTCGATCTCAGAGTTAAATGGTTCAAGATCTTCTGAACCTGAGCGGCGTGTGGGCATGCACAAGAAGACTAGAGAAAAGTATCAAAAGCACAAGAGAAAATAGCCGAAGCAACGAAATAAACCTAGCAAAAACGAATCACAAATAATCAAATGAAACCGTTAGTCCCCGGCAATGGCGCCAAAATTTGATAGGCGGTCGCACACCTAGCAAAAATAACCTAACTAACTACTACTATGTAGACAGGCAAGTAAGGGTCGAATCCCAAGAGACTAAGGTTCAACTAGTTAATTAGACTCAAATTCTTACTAGGCAATAATCAACAATGATCGAATAACTAAATAACTAATGTATGGAAAACCGAAAATAAACTAAGGAATATGATAATCAAATAATTAAAACATCCAAGATCTAGTATCACCACAATTACGCTTGATGCAATTATATTTCTACCCCTAACATACGATTCCAATTGAACAGGGAAAAGTAAACCCTAATCAATACCAAAGACCTCTCTCGAGTATCAATGGCTTCCCTAACATACAATAAAGCCTATTCTCATGGTATCATGCACATTAGAGACATTAAACACATTACTTTAACTTCCCAATTATCAACCCAACTATTCTCATGTTGAAAATCAAACCCTAAATTAATCTACTCAAATCCGTTTAAACCCAACTCTCGCTGTGATAGAAACATTGGAATAATCACAATACTAAAATTACGTCTAACCTAGTATTGGCATAATCATAATCAATTTAGCATAGCAATTGCAAAAGTCATTAGAGAATTTAAAGATTTAATTCATGCATCAATCATAATTGGGCTACCCTAGATTTTGGAATAGGAAATCTACTCACTCATAATGGAATAAACAATAACAAAAATAACTAAAGAAAACATAATTAAGAAATAAGAGATGAAAATAAAATACCAAATCTTGAATTAAATTGAAGGCGAAAAGTGTAAATCTTGAATCTTGAATTATAATAGCAAAGAAAAAAAATAGAGAGAATAATTTCTTAACAACGTAAAACTAATGTTTAATAAAAACTTAATCCCCAAATAAAACTTTACTTAGTGTATTTATACTCCTAGAAAAACAAGAAAACGATTAAAATACTTGGCGCACAATCTTCCCAGGAGGCACGGACGTGCCTCTGAGCGAGTGAAAACTTCTTCGGCTTTTGACTTCCAGGCACGGACGTGCCTGCGCTGCTCTTTGGTTACGGCTGTAGGCACGGACGTGCCTAGGTGAGGCACGGACGTGCCTCCTGACGAGTGCTGAACTTCAGTCTTGGGCACGGACGTGCCCCTGCTAGGCACGGACGTGCCTAGTGTCGAAGCAATTTGATGAGTATACTGACTTGGAGGCACGGACGTGCCTCAGCTAGGCACGGCCGTGCCTAGCTCCAAAAAGCCCTAAATCGTTCTTTCTTCGATCATCAAGCTTCGTGAAGGTTCGTGGGCCTCGGTTTTAGCTTCGTGACTTCGTAAAACATCCAAATTAGCTCCGTTAAGCCTGAAATACATAAAAAACAACGACACTACCCATAAAAGCATCGAATCATCGAAACTAAACCAAATTGCACCAAATTAGACTAAAACACTCGACTAAGCTAATGAAATCAACTAAAAATAAGCTAATAAATATGCACAAAACACGACTCATCAAGGCCAATCATGCCATCTAAAAGCAAAGAGGTTTTCCTTGGCTAGAGTATGCCGAATGAATATTGGAAGGTGATCCGCTGCTGGATGGCAGCTCGGCCTCCACCGATCAACTATGCACACGAGGACGAGCTTCGCCATTTCACTTGGCCAAGTATGTCGAATTTTGCACCTTTAAGTGTTGTATAACAAAGTTCATGCTCGACAACATTTCCATTTGAATGTAAGATAGGTAGGCTTCACTTAAGGGAAGCTCGACCATCTTACTTAGTAGCTATGCTCTTGACTTAGGGTTGTCTTGCATGCCTATCTTTAAGAGATCACACTGATAGGTGTGTCGCGTACCTAACAAAAATAAACCTAACTATTCCTCCTAACTATGTAGTCGTGCAAGTAAGGGTCGAATCCCAAGAAACTAAGGTTCACCTAATTAATTAGACTCAAGCAATCACCAAGCAAGTAACCAATCAATAATGACTAACACTAATGACTAATATATTAAATAACACAATTAATCTAGAGAAAATGATAATCAATAAACTAAAGCATCCAAGATCAAGCATTACCACGAATATAATCGATACACTAATAAATCTACCCCCAATAACAAGTCAATTGACAAGAGGAAAAGCATTCCCTAAACAATACCAATAGTCTCTTCCGAGTTATCAATGGCTTTCCATATCAACTATCTAGCCTATTTCCATGGAATCAAGCAATAAGGGACATTAAACATAATACATAACTTCCTAATCATCTAATCACCTACTTCCGCGATGATCTTCAAACCATTAATTGAAATACCCAAATCTCGTTAATACCCAACTTCCGTTGCAATAAGAACAAAGGGATGACAACAATACTAATTATTCCTAATCTAGCATTGGCATAAACACAATTAATTAAGCATGTCAGTTGGGATTATTATTGGAGAAATTAAAGATTCAATTCATGTATCAATCATACTCGGGCTTTGCAAGATCCCAGATTAAGGATCTACTCACACATATTAACGAAAGCAAAATCAAGATTTAATAAAGAAAACATAATTAATGAGCAATGAAAAGTAAAAGAGAGATAAAGTAGATGAATACCAATTACTTTAATGGAGAAACCTTGAATTGTTGATGAACAATAATCCAAAACTAAGATTAAAAATTAATTGCTTGAAAAAGAGAAAACTAGGGTTTAAAAGTAGTTCTAAAACTAGGGAAAGTAATAATCTCCTCTCTAAATGTGATTACAAGGGGTATTTATACCCTTCAAAAGATAGAATTCCGTAAACAATTAATGACGGTCATCGCGCAACAGTGCTTGGTCAGTCCGGGCAAGGCTTGCCCGATCGGGCGGACGAAGTAGTTTCTTCTTCCTGTGTTCTTCTTCTTCTGCCCGGTCAGCCAGGGCATGTCACACCCGGTCGGGCGCGCGTAACAAGTTCAAGATTGAAGTTTAGAAAATCAAACTCCTCAATGCCCGGTCAGCCAGGGCATGCCACGCCCGGTCGAGCATGTGGGAGCTATGATGATTCTTCGTAGTTAGCTCTTCCTTCCTTCGCCTTAGCAGCTAGGGCACGGGGTGCCCGATAGGGCATTAGGGAAATCTTCATCTTTTACTCAACAACCTCTTCTACATCCATCCAAAACAAGTCTGATTCATCCAAGAAACCTCCATATTCTTGTGAAACACAATAAAATAGATCGAACACACTAGAGAAGAGATTGTTAGAGAGAAATGGCTTCGTAGAACCCAAAACCATGCAAATATACGCTATAAAACCGGGGAAAAACATGGTATAAAACACATACATCAAATTCCCCCAAGCTAACCTCTTGCTTTCCCTAAAGCAAGACAATAAAAAATAATGAATAACTAAGCAAACATACTTCACCCCATAATGAAATTGAAAATAATAGACTCAAAATCGAAATTAGTCAACCACGCATCTTAGCCAACCAATCGGATCACTTAAACCATCAATCAACCTAAGTAGTCGTCAAG